GAGGAATTAGGACTGGATCATCTTTTTTCCTACCCTCATAGACATACCTATGTCTCAAATACATCGATAATTCGAATTTATTACTTGGTCCCCAGCGATTTGACTAATCGGGATTTGACTGTACATGGAGATTGAAGGTCTAAAGTATATAACAACTAAAATAATATCCAGATGCTCATGGTATCAGCCATTTGTTTACCTGGCCTGCACTTTAGTCCTACAGATTTTCATTGCATACAGGATATCATGTTTTCGCAGAAATTGGACATTATTGCCTTCAGACATAACTGGATAGACTGTCAAATGTCATCACTTGCATCCTGCATCGCATGCAGAAATACACCTTACCACATCCCCATCTGTAACTCCATCAGCCCCTGACAAAGATACCTTGTTTAAATGTGTGTCGGGGTAACTAGTTTACTTATCACAAGTTGATACAATCAGCTTCACACCACGAGAGACCCACAGGCCTTTGTCCAAAGTCGGCCATCTTCCTCTGACGTTTGGTTTTAGCTCGCGGAAATCCCCTTTTAGAAATGTGATTAGTGCTGACCTATACGACATGGTTAACTTGGACGCAGTTACAGACCTTGCCAGATGTGTGTGTTTGCTGACAATGTACGCATAATGAAACAAGAGCCAATCAATGTCATACCTTAATATCCATTTTCCGCAATATGCTCGAGTGTTATAGGCTTGGATATTAGTGGTCTGATTGGCACAAGTTGTTGGGATAGTATTGGGTTTGTTTTGAAAGACCCAATCAATGGAATGCAGGGAGATATTAAACACATAAGGGTTACTGTGTTTGTATTTCATAAAACATGTGATTAATGGAATACATCAGTGCAAAACGTGATGAAACAGATGGGAAATGGCATGCTAGAGAAACATTGGGTATTTTTGCAATAATTCATATTAATTCTGATTGGCATACTTTGGATTATTCTTATTTCAATTTGCTTGATGGAAGTGTGTCAATATTCTTTGCGGAACTTACATTGTTGTGTTTAGAAATCCCGCAGGTTTTTTTATAGCTGAGTGCTCTGGTTGACATGGCAACTATTTTTGATTGACATTTTGAATAAAAATGAAAACTGGTTGATTGTTTTGTGATCAAGATGAGTTTGGAAAGTGGCTTAAGAGCCATGTTGTTCTTCAGTTCTGGAGGTTGTGTAAGAAACGTTATTGCCCCCCTACTCAAACACAGGTGTCAGTTATGTCATTTAGGCTGAGACAAAAATTGCTGAAATTTTTGTGATCCTTCCCCACAATTTTTAATACAGATGTTTTAATGTGTTACTTGGCATGGACAGAATTTGCTTTGTCAGTATTAAATGTTTTCAGAGGAATGTGTTTTGATGCGTTGTGAACTAAACAAAGTGTTTTACTGATGAGGCCATGTCTGCATTCATTGTGATTAGTACATCGTGTACGAGTGAGGAAGTGAAATATTACTAAAATATGCGTAAAACTACACTCCCTAACTCATTCTTTAGTGAGTGAGTGAGTTTACTTTTATGCCGTTTTTAGCAATATTCCAGCAATATCATGGCGGAGGACATCAGAAATGGGCATCACACATTGTATCCATGTGGGGAACCGAACCCCGGGTCTTCGGCGTGACGAGGGAATGCTTTAACCACTAGGCTACCTGACCACCCCTTGTGTGCCAGTGGTTGATATTGACTTTATTATGGTGGCAGTTGTGTCATTTAGGGATGAAAGCTGACATGATTTAGGGATTTGCGTGATGCAGAAATGTGCGCCCAGTGCACACAAATGTATAGAATGAGTCGGGGTAGCCTAGTGGTTAAAGTGTTCACTTGTCACGCCAAAGACCCGGGTTCGATTCCCCTCATGATGACCATTTCTGGTGTCCCCCTGCCGCGATATTGCTGGAATATTGCTAAAAGCGGCATAAAGTAAACTCACTCACTAAAGAATGAGTTAGGGAGTATAGTTTTACGCATATTTGAGTAGTATTTCAGCAATATCACAGTGGGGACCAGGCGGTGGCTCGTCACGCCGAAGACCCGGGTTCGAATCCCCACATGGGCACAATGTGTGAAGCCCATTTCTGGTGTCCCCCGCCGTGATGTTGCTGGAATATTGCTGAAAGCGGCGTAAAACCAAACTCAGTCAGTCAGTCACACTGGGGACACCAGTAATGGACTTCACACATTGTACCTATGTGGGGAATCAAACACGGGTCTTTGGTGTGACTGGCAAATGCTTTAACCATTAGGCCCAGGTTAGCTTATGTCGGCAAGGTAAAACCCTCCATGATTTAAAAAAATAAAATTATGAAATTCAGAAATGTTTGTAATATGTTTCTTGCTATAGAATAATGTCATTCACATGTACTCAGTCACTGATTGTCAAAGTGTATAAACTGCCAGAAAGAATCACAATCATGCACAATCAATTATTCCGTTTTCGTGAATCATCATAAATCGTAACCGTGAATTATGATATGTCAGCAGTTTATTGGTCCCCCCTGAATCAATTATCATACAAATCAAACATCAATATTTTGTGTTAATTTATTGGATAGAAATAAAAAGGATCTCATATTTGCCCTGTCTCATTAACACTGCGACTGATTGTCACGTTTGTTGTCTGGTTTACGACCTGTCTGTCGACGGTTGCCGGAGGACGTTATTCCAGAGAAGTGGCGATATTAAAGATGTGTAATGTAACATAGTATCTATTGGCTGACAAGCGACATCTGACGGTGTGACAACACAGGGATAAAGAGGCAGTCAGGTGCTGCTTCTGTGTGTGTTAGTTTTATGCTGCTTTTAGCAATATTCCAGCAATAGCTCGGTGAGGGGGGACACCAGGAATGGCCTTCACACATTGTACCCATGTGGGGAATCTAACCTAGGTCTTCAGCGTGACAAGTGACCACTTTAACCACTAATCTAGCACACCATCCCGTGCTGCTTCTGAACGCTATCCGTGATGCTTATTAACATACTGAGGGTGGTAGGGGTAGCCCAGTGGTTAAAGTGGTCGCTTGTCACGCTGAAGCCTCAAGTTTGATTCCCCACATGGGCACAATATGTGAAGCCCATTTCTGGTGTCCCCTGCCATGATATTGTTGAAATATTGCTAAAAATTGGCACAATACTAACTCACATGCACAACTCTTGTGGTATGGATATAAGGTATGGACGTATACGGTAGGAAACAATTTAAAAACGTAGCCCTAACCACAGCAATGCCTCGGTTTCGATACATTTACAGCTGATTTATCTGAAAAGTATTGTTTTATTGATTACTGACCTGTTTACACAAGGTAGCAATGTTGTGATGAAGAAACCCAGATTACTGGTGTTCCCAGTACTCTAAATGATATTGCAGGAATATTGAAAAAATAAGGAGTAAACCATATCTGGAGCCCTGCTCACTCATGCACTAAGGTATGGACGGTATAGTCTATTGCACTATGGTATGTGGAACTGCTTTAAGTGGCATTTAGAAGCTGGTATGACAAAGAGGAACATGATGCAGACAATTGCAGTAAAGAAATGTATCCATAATTTGTGGAATGTGACGCAGGGCGACCTTGACTCACAACACAGGAAGTGATCCGTAACAGTGGGTCACCTTCCGTAATGATGACTCACCTTCATTTTTGTCACAAGCACAAACCTTCCGTACTACATGACTGGTGAATAAATGTTTTACTGTCATGGTATCCCTCCAGTGGTTTGATATAACCTCTGATGACTTTGTGAAACTATACACACTCCCAGCAGTGGAGACCTGCTGGCAAGTTGATAATTGAAGGTCACTAGCCCATGGCAAGTGCTATCTTCCAGAAAAGATTTTTCAACCATCTCAAACTTTAGGCAGATTTTCTTTACTTATTCATGAAAAGTTTTTTAGAGAATGGATTTGATGAAGCTAACTGAATTTGAAATAAACACAGGGGGACATCAATATATAATCATTATCATGAAAGTTCAAATTGGCATATGATGAAGTAAAAGGCAATCTTGAAACAGATCTGGCTTCTACACTTTGGTATTAATGCAATGTCATATTGTCATGACAACTAATTTTTCTTGTAATATCATATGGCTGCATGCCCAGAAGAGCTAGGGAGATATTATATGAGTGAACATGAGATGAAAGTTGCATTAATAGATCAGTTTCAGGAAAATAGCAGGATGATTTATCCATGTATATAAACTTGAAGAGACAGCTCCCTAATTCCTAATTTGTGGTTAGTTGTCAGAATATAGTATTTTTACTTGTAGGTAATTGAACATGACTTTGATCTGCGTGGACTGGGTTGTAATATAGATCTGATGTGTTTTAGGGGAAATAGGCTGGCAATGAGTCTGAAGATTGACTGTATACATGAAAGATAAATCATTACAGAACTTTGTTTGGTTATAAACGTCGAGTCTGCTCGTGGTAAGTGTGGTTGTTCTTCAGCAGCAGTAGAACAGAAACAGAATTAGGAGAGAACATTGTTGTCTAGAAAAAGAACTGAACATTTCTATCCTGATATTGGACAGAAGATTGTTGTCCCCGATAATGGACATTGCATTGTTGTCTCGATATTGGGCCGAAGATTGTTGTCTCGATATTGGGCCGAAGATTGTTGTCCCAATATTGGGCAAAAAATTGTTGTCCTAAGATTGTTGTCCCGATATTGGAAAGAAACTTGTTGACCTGATATAGGATAGAAGGACAGAAGATTGTTGTCAAGATATTGGACAGGACATTGATTGCCCTGATATTGAGCAGAACATTGTCCTGATATTGGACGGGATGTAATGAATGGTTGTCTTGCAAGCCAACATTTGCTCTGTTGTCACGCATTGCTATTTACATTCTGATATAAGAGCCTAGTTTTGGAATATACCTTACATGTTGGGTTTCTTTCCAGATTGTTGGTTCATCAGAAGACTTGTTGTTCACTTTCCAATGTAAGAAGCCTATTTCTGAATAAACCTAAGATGTTGGTTTTCTTGCAGATTGTTGTATCAGCCAGAAGACTGTGACCATCAGAAAGTCGGCCAGCCTTGGGGGACAGCAGAAGCTGGACTGTGACCTCCGGTATCCCCGAGGTCAGCCTGTCCCCTACATCATACAGTGGAAGAAGGATGGCCTCCAGCAACCCATCTTCATCAAGTACGATGGCTACCCAGCCCAGGTGCCCTACCAACAACACCCGAGGCCGCATCGAGCTGGCCGACATCGTATCTCTTGAGATCAGTCACATCGAGGCGGAAGACGAGGGATGGTACGAGTGTAATATCATATTCATAGATGGTGCTGAAGAAACGACGGTCAATGGATCATGGATCTACCTTACAGTGCATTGTGAGTACAATTCATTTGGATTATGGTAGGGGCTCTTTGAGTGGAGGGGCGACGGGGTAGCCTTATGGTTAAAGTGTCTGCTTGTCACGCTGAAGAACCGGGTTCGATTCCCCACATTGGTCCATTTCTGGTGTTCCCTGCAGTGATATTGCTGGAATATTGCAAAAATCGGCCGTAAAACCATATTCATTCACTCACTCTTTGAGTAGAATAACATAAAGGCATACATTCCAGTGCATTGGGTGATATATGATATATTAACCGAGCGTGGGTTCTTTTGGCATATATTGCTCTGTTTAGTCACAGACATTTGAAAATTTGGTGTACCGAAGGGTCATCTGTTGTTTTTGTTCTGAAAGAAATGGAAAAACCTTTGTTGTTATAGTTGTTACACAGTTACAATTATATTCTTACATTAACGGGGCGGTGGGGTAGCCTAATGGTTAAAGCGTTGGCTCGTCACGCCGAAGACCCGGGTTCGAATCCCCACATGGGTACAATGTGTGAAGCCCATTTCTGGTGTCCCCCGCCGTGATGTTGCTGGAATATTGCTAAAAGCGGCGTAAAACCAAACTCAGTCAGTCAGTCAGTCTTACATTAACAAGTGATATGAGCAAGCGTCGTATCAATTACCATATCATAGTCGATGGTGTTTAGTTTTGTCAATGTCTGATTTGAATAGATTGTGAAATTTTATTTTATGCTGTGTTAATGAGTAATCTGATTTCCTGGAAGTTTTGCCAGTTTAGTAGATCTACTCAAAGAGTCCCTACATTGCATGCAACTAGATCTGTAGGTGTTGACCATCTTGACCATCTCAACAGACTTACTGTTGTCCGGAGATGAAAGCTTTGAGCGATGGTGACTTCATTTCAGGAACTGCAGATTAATTTGGCATTACCATGGTAACAAATACACATACACACCACAGTCCATGTATTTAGAACTGTCTGCTAGTTCTGGAGGTGTTGTCCATCTTGACCATCTCAACAGACTTACTGTTGTCCCGAGATGAAAGCTTTGAGTGACAGTGTCTTCATTTCAGGACCTGCAGATCAATTCAACATGGCTAGGTTAACACACAGACACACACCTTGTATTTAGAACTTTGAACCATCTGCTAGTTCAGGAGGTGTTCTTGACCACCTCAACAGACTTACTGTTGTCTGGTGTTGAAAGCTTCCAGTGATAGTGTCTTCATTTCAGGAACTATAGATCAACTCAACATGGCTAAGTTAACACAAAGCACACACCTTGTATTTAGAACTTTGAACCATCTGCTAGTTCAGGAGGTGTTCTTGACCACCTCAACAGACTTACTGTTGTCTGGTGTTGAAAGCTTCCAGTGATAGTGTCTTCATTTCAGGAACTATAGATCAACTCAACATTGCTAAGTTAACACACAGACACACCACAGTCCATGCATTTAGAACTGTCTGCTAGATCCAAAGGTGATCCATCTTGACCACCTCAAAAAGAGTCACTGTTGTCTGGAGGTGAAAACTTTGAGTGATAGTGTCTTCATTTCAGGAAGTGCAGATCAACTCAACATGGCTAGGTTAGCACAGATCTCAGACCATGTGTTTAGATTTATCTGCTCGGTATAGAGGTGTTGTCCATCTTGACCACCTCAACAGACTTACTGTTGTCCAGAGGTGAAAGCTTTGAGCGATAGTGTCTTCATTTCAGGAACTGCAGATCAACTCAACATGGCTAGGTTAACACACACCACACACCTTGTATTTAGAACTTTGAACCATCTGCTAGATCTGGAGGTGTTGACCATCTTGACCATCTCAACAGACTTACTGTTGTCCGGAGATGAAAGCTTTGAGCGATGGTGACTTCATTTCAGGAACTGCAGATTAATTTGGCATTACCATGGTAACAAATACACATACACACCACAGTCCATGTATTTAGAACTGTCTGCTAGTTCTGGAGGTGTTGTCCATCTTGACCATCTCAACAGACTTACTGTTGTCCCGAGATGAAAGCTTTGAGTGACAGTGTCTTCATTTCAGGACCTGCAGATCAATTCAACATGGCTAGGTTAACACACACCACACACCTTGTATTTAGAACTTTGAACCATCTGCTAGATCTGGAGGTGTTGTCCACCTCAACAAACTTACTGTTGTGTGGAGTTGAAAGCTTCCAGTGATAGTGTCTTCATTTCAGGAACTACAGAGCAACTCAACATTGCTAAGTTAACACAAACCACACACCTTGTATTTAGAACAAAGAACTGTCTGCTGCTAGATCTGGAGGTGTTGTCCACCTTAACAAATCTCATCAGACTCACTTTTGTCTGGAGGTGAAATCTGTCAGTGATCGCATCTGTCTAGACAGACAACTCTACGTATTGTATAAGGTACCTACACCATAGTTCATGTATCTAGAACTACTCTCATGAAGCTAATTTATTATTAAATCTTATTTTGTACATTTGATCACCAAATTCGTTGAATTCCACTGTTTTGTACGACAAAGACAGACGTGAGACTGGAATCTTGAGATGAGCAGGATATAGCCTGTCCAGACAGTCATTGGCATATACAGCCAAGGTATTACGGCTGTTTATCAGACTGACATGCTGTAATAGACTATTGTCTACAACCTACAGCCAGGGTATAACTGTGCTGTACCAGTCTGACATGTGACACAGACAGGGTAGAAGTATTGTTATTCCATGCCCCCATACCATCAGTAAAGTCTTGCGTGTTGCAATAAGGAATGACATAATATATATTGCTTTTTGCTGTATCAGCAGTTTCTGGCTATTTGCAGTACTTCAAGCCACCAGAACTGGTATGGAAGAAAATCAGTGCGTCTGAGACTCGTAATGATCACACAAGTTCAGGGAATAACCTGTATGAAGCAACCTCTGAATATATCTGCAGTTACGTATGTCTTTAGAGATTAAGGAACTAGTCATTTCTGGGTGAGACAATGGGCCCTCTGATTGGGTCAGTGACCTCTGTCTGTAGAATACTACTCAGTATTGCCCAAGATGATAGACCATTGGAATAATACGACTGGGCATTGCTGCAACCCTATGTGTAACTGGTAATATTACCGTAAAATGGTGGTTGGATGGATGCGATGCTTGAATATTTGTAAGGCTCAGCAAAAACAAATTGTCCTCGTCTAGAGTTCTTGTTTTTTAAGTTAACCAAATTATGCCCCCCAAATTTAGATTGTTACATTGAAAAAAGAGAGACAAATACATTCAAATTATAGTTTTTAGTTCCTGGAAATATTAAGATGGTGGGAAAAGATGGTTAGACAAGAGGAATCGGGGACAAAACAAGTTTGGAGTTGCTACAGACATGTATCAGTTATGATTTCTCATTGTGTAATGTTTGAAGTTTTTATAATATTATTTTAACAGGGTTAAATGAGAGCGCGAAAATGAAATTAAATGTTGATGGTATAAATATTTGTGGATGTTTCTTTTTAAATGTGTTATTTATGATTGAAAGAATTAAAATCTTTTTTTCATAATTTTATGAACATTTTAAAATTTTGTAGATGACAGATTAGTAAATCACGCTTAATAACAGATCTGGGCTTACTGACAATTGGCTATTGTCTGGTCTCAGGTGTGAAGAGCTTGGACAGAGGCCATCTGTTGCTACCCCTGTAGCACAGCCATGATTGGCACAGGACATTGGGGCAGTGGGGTAGCCTTGTGGTTAAAGCGTTGGCCTGTCACGCTGAAGATACAGGTTTGATTCCCCACATGGGTGCAATGTGTGAAGCCCATTTCTGGTGTCCCCCACGGTGATATTGCTGGGACATTGCTAAAAGAGGCGTAAAACAATACTCACTCACTCACTCACTGGTACATAACAAACTGAACCATTAGGATGTTGATACTGAGGCAATTTGATGAAGTCACTGAAAACAATGATTGGAATGGGACAAGAGGTCTTTGAACAGCATTTAGAAGTGATACACATAAAGGCGCTAATGTTTGGAGGGGCAGTGATTTGAATGGGAATGGGACTTGTGCAAAGTCCTGAATCCCCCCATAGAGATGTGCATCTCCTACTTGTAGCAACTGATGGAAGAGTGGGGCCAGTTTGCTGACTTGGCAGATAGGTGTCATCGTAATGTAATGACGCAGATCTTAACACCTGCTTTCAGTCACAGGTGTTTTCTGGTAAAGAAAGAATTATTTTAGAAAACCCCAGATATTTACAGCTGTATACCACTGACAGTGGTGGTTGCCATCACTCACTGCAAAACAATGACTGCTCCCTTGAACACTGACTGCTCCCTTATTGACTTACCCTGAGGAAGACCGTGGGTTATGTGTACATACATATGACAGAAGGGATCAATACTGTTGTCCTTGACGACCTCCGACAGGGACAGGATGGATGGTCCAGATGGAGTGGAAGACGTTACTGTCGACACCTGCCAAAATGTATGGCAAATTTTGAACTTTCTGTCCACTCAGTCTTTGTGAGGCTTTGGGCCACAATTTTTCTTATGATGTGAAAGAACCAATAATTAATACCAGTCATCGGCTGTTCTGTTGACTCACCTGCTACTTACCACATAAACAAATAAATTCTGCCTGGATCAGCCATCTTAGAAGTAACTCTTACTGTTGAAAATCATTACTTGACAGTTTTAGCTGATGCATGTGTCAGCCTTGAATTTTGGGGTCAGACCCTTTGAAGCTGAAGTCATCACCGTGTCCAGATTGTGGAGGGCGGTGGGTAGCCTAGTGCTTAAAGCGTTGGCTCGTCACGCCGAAGACCCGGGTTTGATTCCCCACATGGGTACAATGTTTGAAGCCCATTTCTTGTGTGCCCCGCCGTGATATTGCTGGAATATTACTAAAAGCGGCATAAAACCAGATTGTGGACAACAGAAATGAAACCTTGAATTTTAGGTCAGATCTTTGGAAGCTGGTTCTGGATAAAAGAAATTCTAAATATACCAGCATGTGAAGTCATCCCATAGATGACATCCTTACCTTGTCA